CCAGATGCGGATAGCCGTTGATCCAACGAAACTAAGAAGTGGAGATTCGAGCGGGCAAAACCATCACGAGCAAATAGTTTGTTATTGCGATGTTCCCAGCTGAATATCTCCAGCCAATACACACACGCCATACCGTTTATCTTATAGATGATTGCGCAGGCGCCCCAATTATGGTTGGGAGGCATGGGCTGCACTGCAACCACTGCGGCAATGACACTGTTTCCTACTAGTGGTCTAGAACAGCATGCTGAGTGAACTTCAAATCCCTCTAATGGAAGAATTATCACTCACACTGTGGTTTTGGCCCTCTTCATTCCAAGGCTGTTAAAGGGGGACATGGACCCAGACATTTGAGAACCATCATCACGAAGGGTGCCATTGATCATTGCAAGTTCACGCAGCTGCTGCTTTTTATAGAAGTCCTGAGATTCATCCTGTTTTTTTTGTGAAAATATTAAAAATCGGGCAGGGAATTGAGAGAGAGAGGAAAACCAATGTCCTTATACGGGAAATGAATAATTCAGAAGGAAAGGAAAAGAAAAACGTTTCTCTCCTTTTCCTCACCAAAATCATCTGCCCAAACCGAGTTTCTTCAGTCCTAGCCATAACATCAATGTAGGTAAGGCTACATCGTTGTTTTGCCTCGTCGCGAAAAACTATGTTTGCCAGCCAATGCCAGAATTTGATGTCAAAAAACTAAAGTTTCCTTAACTAAAACCAAGTATCGAAAACACTTATTTGATGTATTTAATATAGAAATCAAGTATAAAAACTTAAAAATCATGTCTTTAAGGTGAAAACAATTGATCACCGGCCAAGTTAAAGACAAATTTCATATTCTTTGACCAAAGCCCAAAAGTTAAAGCTGGTTTTTAGAAAATAATTGTTTGGAAACCTTTTAAATATGCCTAGAAGTAAAAACCAAATATAAAAAGTTGAAAACCGCTTAGTTGATTGAAAATCGAACGCTGAACGTTGTGGTTTTGGTTTGGACAAAGACCAAGGGTTTTTGGTAACTTAAAACATTTATGAAAACTATTTGGTTGATGCATAAAATGGTTTCGTGTTTTTAACTTTTGAGAACCAAGGCTGAAAGACCATTGCCAGGTTTGATCACATTAAGACCGACTCAACCAAAACATAAGTCTTCATCTTGATCTTGTTCTTGATTCTTTTGTACCTTGTACCATGCCTTGTTTTACGCCTTGAGATGTTCAACAACTCTTCATATCCACGAGGGTTTGGCATTTATCAAAACCTATCAAAAACCGAAGACAGCTTTAGTAAAAGATCATTGTAAAGTGTGTTCCAACACCATAGACAGATAATAAACTTTAATTCTATGCTAACATTCTTAGAAAATAATCTACTTGAAATAAGAGACAATAATCTACTATGAAGTTAAATTCACATAAGGTAATCGTCTATGCTCTAACAGCATAGAAAGTAATATAAGCATTTACAGATTCACGAACATATATGTAAACAAGGGAAAGGTTAATACAAATTCTAAAACGTCCAAATAAATCATAATTTGAAATCAAAGTGGAGAGTCACATTATGTGAATTCTATACTTTAAGCCGAGATGGCTGACAATCCTAAAAGGGGGTGACGCTGGTAACCCTTAGAGATGAGAGGGGTTCGAATCCTGTTACCGGAGACTAGGGTGGTGAGAGAGGGATTCGAAGCGTGTACCCGGAGGCTAGACAAGCGATGGAGGGGTACGACGCCAAACCTGGAGCGGCAGCTGGACGGGCGATGGAGGGGTACGACCCTCTAAGGCAGTCTTCATATGTAGCACATAGTTAAAATTTACGAATCTCAATCACATGTTACAAAGATTAAAGTTCTGTGAAACTAGGACTTGTTCTTGTCACAGACGATACTCGTTTGTAATAGGAGGGATTGTACTATATAAATGTGGGTGTATGTCTTCTTTGCTAGTTCTGAGCCAACTTTTCTTATTAAAGGCCATATTTGATTACGTGATTTTGCATTTGAAATGGAAAATTTACTTTTTTCGTTATATAAATAGTTCTACGCTATATACATATACTACTGTTACAAGGGAGTCTTCTATTCTTATAATAAACAACTATGCAAAACAAAACCATATGAAACATAAAACTTACAATAAAATACAATTTCTTATAAGTTTAAAAACAATTATAAACTGAAAAACCAGACTACTGTTTAGAAATAGTAGTCTTAACTAATTTTTGACAACTGTGGCAACAAAAGCTGTATTTTTAGATGAAACGGACTACTAATAAAAGATTACCGTTCCTCAAAACTTTAAAAACAGCTATACCCTTACTTCATAGACTACTATTACAAAAGAGTCTTCTATTCCTATTTGAAACAACAGTGGCAAAAAAATCATACGAAACAGACAACTAGCGATAGATAAATGTTTCTAATAAGTTTAAAAATAGTTCTAGACTAAAACACCATAATACTGTTTAAATAGAGTATTCTTAACTTGTTATTGACAATTGTTGTAACAAAAGCTATATTTTGAACCCACACAGACAACTAGTGGTAGATTACTCTTTCTCAAAACCTTAAAAGCAGTTTTAAAGCATCATAGTTAGATTACTGTTCGGTAGCCAAGAAAAAATCACAATAGTCTGTTTTTTTAACTACTGTGTTTCCATAAACAGTAGTTAATCAACAGTCGTCTGATACTATTTTTGGCGTAGTGTGACCTAATATACCGTGTAATAAATTAATAATATTACCGTTGATTATGCTAAGCAAATAGGCTTTGAATGTTTCCATTTATAGATCTAGTGCCAAACTTTTTATGGAGACAATTAAATTTATAAATCTATGCATTTATGGAAAGCACTATTTAAAAAATTTACAAAATCATAAATAGAAAAAGAAATCAAATAAAAAAATGTCAAAGTAATACATAGAAATTATGGTATATATGGTAAGTGTTGAATAAATAAATGATAATTCAATCATAAACTACCGTGTAATAAGAATAAATCATGTATTACGTTGTAACAAGAATAATAGTAGTAATAATAATAATAATAATAATAATATTATTATTATTATTTTCATATTTAATCATTATTAATTTATTACCGGGTAAGAACAATGATATTAATATACTATGTAATAATATTATTGTAGTTAGTCACTATTATCGTATAATGATTCTAATAAAAAAACTTTCAATTTAAAAATGTTTCCATTTAGAGATTCGAGCCAAACTTAATATTATAATATTTAATTATTATTAATTTATTATTTTGTGATTATGCTAAACAAATAAACTTTCAGTTTAATTATATTTTCATTTAGAGATCCGGTGCCAAATATTTTATGGATAAAATTAAATTTATAAATTTCTGCATTTAAGGAAAGTACATTTTAAAAAAAATTCAAAATCGGAAATAATAAAAGAAATTAAATCTAAAAAATATCAAAGTAATACATAAAAATTGTCAGAACATATGGTAAATGTTGAATATCTATGATCACTTCATATGTGATCCAAAGATTTCTCTGTTTTCAAACCCAAACACAAAAGAATAGACTGAAGCCCAACTTAATACTCCGTATTTTTTTCTACCAGTACAATTGCAAAACCCTAGCACCGTAGCAGCATATATCATTTCGTATATAAGCTTCGCTTCGGCTCTTAGCTCTCTCGTCTTCTTCCAGGTTTTCCCAGACTACATACATCAGGTACTTCATTTTCTCTACACGCTCAATCCTCCATTTTCATTGTTCCTCTACTTCAACTTCCTCCATTTCACTGGTAAAATTTAAGCCTTGTTCGAATTATCCTTTAATGAATCACAGTTCTATATTTTTATTGTCGATTGAATCTCAGATCTACAGCCAAAAGTTTAAAATCTGAAACATCGCTCTACAGATCTTCTATTAGGCCTATATAATTGAGAATCAGTGTCTGATTTCACTCTATAGTTTCTGGTTTCACGTCTCAGATATGCGTTCGATTTCCTCTGTCTGTTTTTCTCCAATTTTCTGATTTATTTTGTTTATTTGCACATGACTGGCTTCCGATTTATGGTACTGGGTATTTGTTTTGTGGGGTAACTGCGTTTTTGTCACTTTATAATGAGCAGTATCTATTTCATTCGAGGGAAACAGTGGATAACATCATCGGTTGCTGATGATCATATGTATTTGCTTAGTCAATTGAAAATTTTATGCAGAGATGCTGAAGTAAATAAAAAAGTTCTGATCTCTTTATTGATACATGATCTGATTTCATCAATACAATTTTTGGGCATGGATATGTGTTTACTTTTTTTTACTGGAATATTTGAAATATTACTGCATCTATGTTGCATATATCATACACTGATCTCATTTTTGTCAAATCTGAATCCTGTACTGTTGATTTTGTTTGCTGATACTAGGACTTTTCAGGAAAGTCACATCAAGGCCTATCAAAATGGTAATGAAGCTTTTATATATGTATATCTATAATCTTTTTTTGTTAACAATGTTGTGCAGTTTTAATAATAAACATTTGACATCTGCAGGTGAAGTTTACAGCAGAAGAGCTTCGGGCAATCATGGACAAGAAGCAAAATATTCGTAACATGTCCGTTATTGCTCATGTTGACCACGGTATGAGAGCTGAAAAATGTTTGCTAATCCTTATTTATTTAATTTGATGTTTTTTAAGGAACTATGCTAATAATTTTACATGTTATGGCTTTTAAATGTGTACCAGGAAAGTCCACACTTACAGACTCCCTAGTGGCTGCTGCTGGTATTATTGCTCAGGAAGTTGCTGGGGATGTTCGAATGACCGATACCCGTGCAGATGAAGCTGAACGTGGTATTACCATCAAGTCCACTGGAATTTCTCTTTATTATGAGATGTCAGATCAAGAATTGAAGAATTTCAAGGGAGAGCGAAATGGGAACGAGTACCTTATCAATCTTATTGACTCCCCTGGACATGTTGACTTTTCATCAGAAGTGACAGCTGCACTTCGTATCACTGATGGTGCCCTTGTAGTTGTTGATTGTATTGAAGGAGTTTGTGTGCAAACTGAAACTGTACTTCGTCAAGCCCTTGGCGAAAGGATTCGGCCAGTTTTGACTGTTAACAAGATGGACAGGTGCTTTCTTGAGCTCCAGGTTGATGGGGAAGAAGCTTACCAGACCTTCTCAAGGGTGATTGAAAATGCTAATGTTATCATGGCCACATATGAGGATGCCCTCTTGGGTGATGTCCAGGTTTACCCCGAGAAAGGTACAGTTGCTTTCTCAGCAGGATTACACGGCTGGGCGTTCACACTCTCTAACTTTGCCAGGATGTATGCTTCCAAGTTTGGAGTTGATGAACAAAAGATGATGGAAAGGCTTTGGGGTGAGAGTTTCTTTGACCCCGCTACAAAGAAGTGGTCGTCCAAAAACACTGGTTCCCCGACTTGCAAGCGTGGGTTTGTGCAGTTCTGTTATGAGCCCATTAGGCAGATCATTTCCACATGTATGAATGATCAAAAAGATAAGCTTTGGCCAATGTTACAGAAACTCGGTGTCACTATGAAATCTGATGAGAAGGATTTGATGGGGAAGGCACTGATGAAACGTGTCATGCAGACGTGGCTGCCCGCCAGTAATGCACTTCTTGAAATGATGATTTACCACCTCCCATCACCAGCCACGGCTCAGAAATATCGTGTTGAGAACTTGTATGAGGGACCACTTGATGATCAATATGCTACTGCCATTAGAAACTGTGATCCAGAGGGGCCCCTCATGCTCTATGTGTCTAAGATGATTCCAGCACCAGACAAGGGCAGATTTTTTGCATTCGGACGTGTTTTTGCTGGCAAGGTTTGCACCGGGATGAAGGTCAGGATCATGGGTCCGAACTATGTGCCTGGAGAGAAGAAAGATTTGTATGTCAAGAATGTTCAGAGAACTGTTATTTGGATGGGCAAGAAACAGGAAACAGTGGAGGATGTTCCTTGTGGGAATACAGTGGCTATGGTTGGCCTTGATCAATTCATTACAAAGAATGCCACTTTGACCAACGAGAAGGAGGTTGATGCCCATCCTATCAGAGCCATGAAGTTTTCTGTGTCACCTGTAGTACGTGTTGCTGTTCAGTGTAAGGTTGCATCAGACCTTCCCAAGCTTGTGGAAGGTTTGAAGCGTCTGGCGAAGTCTGATCCTATGGTTCTCTGTACAATTGAGGAGTCTGGGGAGCATATTATTGCTGGTGCTGGTGAGCTTCATCTTGAGATCTGTTTGAAGGACCTGAAGGATGATTTCATGGGTGGTGCTGACATTATCGTATCGGACCCTGTTGTCTCTTTCCGTGAGACTGTCCTTGAGAAGTCATGCCGTACAGTCATGAGCAAATCTCCTAACAAGCACAATCGTCTATACATGGAAGCGAGGCCGATGGAGGAAGGGCTTGCAGAGGCAATTGATGAAGGTCGCATTGGGCCAAGGGATGACCCCAAAGTTCGCTCCAAGATTCTGTCAGAGGAGTTTGGGTGGGATAAAGACCTTGCAAAGAAGATTTGGTGCTTTGGTCCCGAGACCACCGGGCCAAACATGGTTGTGGACATGTGTAAGGGAGTGCAGTACCTAAATGAAATCAAGGATTCTGTGGTGGCAGGCTTCCAGTGGGCTTCTAAGGAAGGTGCCTTGGCAGAGGAAAACATGAGAGGCATCTGCTTTGAGGTATGTGATGTCGTTCTTCATGCTGATGCTATTCACAGGGGTGGTGGGCAAGTCATCCCCACCGCGAGGAGAGTCATATACGCATCTCAGCTCACCGCCAAGCCCCGCCTTCTGGAACCAGTCTACTTGGTTGAAATCCAAGCACCGGAGCAAGCTCTTGGCGGCATTTACAGCGTGCTTAACCAGAAGCGTGGTCACGTGTTTGAGGAGATGCAGAGGCCAGGAACCCCCCTCTATAATATCAAGGCGTACCTTCCTGTCATTGAGTCGTTCGGGTTCTCTGCTTCTCTCCGGGCTGCCACGTCTGGTCAAGCTTTCCCACAGTGCGTGTTTGACCATTGGGACATGATGTCCTCGGACCCATTGGAGCAGGGTTCACAGGCTCAGAACCTCGTGATTGATATCCGCAAGAGGAAGGGTCTCAAGCAGCAGATAACGCCACTCTCCGAGTTTGAAGACAAGCTGTAAGTCGGGCTGCCCCACCCCCACCCCTACCCCCACCAGATGCATCAAGTACTTGCTCATTTTCTCATCTTTAATTTTTGTCCAGCGTTGTGGTGCTTTCTAGCATTTCCAGTATCTTTGAACCAGTTTTATTTGACGTTATTTTTCTCAATACATGAGAGTTGCTGTGTGGATTATATATATATATATATCTATATATATATATATATATATATATATATGCATGATGTGATTTCTGTGGGGGAATTCGTTGTGTTGTGGAAGTCATTTTCTGCTTTTTATTTGATTGCGTTTCTGGCATTCAAATTTATTTTCTGTGTTCCATCTTCCCCAACACTGTTCTCTCTTTTACTTGCAACAAATATTAGTGTTAAACACCCTCGATTTCCTTGCCCAAGGTACAGTCATATTTTCACTGTCTCAATTGGAAATTGTTTCTGTTACTCCCTGTTTTTTTTTATGAAGAAAATTTATTCTTCCACTGTCTCTTTGTATTTGTCCAACAAGTATTATTGTTTTTTCTGTTATTCCCTATTTTTTTATATGAAGAAAATTGTTTATTTTTTTTATATGTTAAGAAAATTTATATGCAACGCAATTTTTTTGAGTACGTGATTAGTAAATGGAATATATCTTTTGGGAATGGATGGAATATCTTCTATTTGTAGTTGATGAATGCCAGAATGGTATGAGGGTAGTAAATGCATGTCAATGAGAGAATGTGATTTATGTAATTCTTTTAATGTTTCTTCCGTTTATGAGAGAGAATTCAAGAAACCCTCTAAATAGGAGTAAAACATATATCATATCATTAAAATAGGAGTTCAAACTTAAACTCCTCTAATTAGATTAATTAATTAAATTTTGTTTTAATTTACTCTTCCGCACTAACCACCCCACATCCCAGCCCTATGCGGTCGAAAAAGTCACCCAGCCCCTTCCCAATCTCATCCTTCTACGATCTCCTTCGTTTTAATTTTAGTTGCTGACACTGTCAACTTAATCTCAATTCTTTCTCCGTTTCTACCATATCCTCTATGCGGTAATGATTCCACCGCATTCTCTATCATCTTTTTTTTCTCATACACACAATTTCCTTCCACCTTTCTCCACAATTTCTATTTTTCATCGCTCGGATGCCTCCGTCCTCTTGAGTAAGTTTGAATTTAATTTGATATTTAATTTTACATAAGTAGTTAAATTCAATTTTAAAACTAAAAATTTACTTTTTTGGGAATTATTTTGTAAAATTGGTACTAATTCTTTTTTATCTTTGCGTGAGTTTGAAACTTTTAATCAATTTTATATTCAATTTCACATAGGTTGTGACATTTGATTTTAAATCTAATTTTACTTCTTAGAAAATTATTTTGTAAAACATATATTGAAACTAAATTATTATTGTGTTGGCAAATAGAGTTTTTTGATGTTTAACTTTTTTGAGATTATGCATTAACATATGTGTTATATGTAAAATTATACATTGGCATTTCTGTCATTATACATTTTCAAATGTGGTACTATATATTGTCATTTGGTATTATCTCTTGGTTTAGCATTATGCATTTGCATGTATGACTTTATACAATGACATGATTGTCATTATGTGGTAACGTGTGACGTTAAATGTAGTCTTGTTTGACATTGTATGAACATTTTATTGTAGTAATTTACTGAGTTTTTATTTATTGCTTAAGAATTTTGACATATATCTACTAGGTATTAATCAAGTCTCATAGATTTATTGATTAAAAATTTTGGCATTAAATATGTGGTCTTGTTTGACACTCTATGGGCCTGAGGCAACACTTAAAGATGATTTTTATCAAGTTTTTTTTTCTTCCTAAAAATGTCAAATAATCAAATCAGAATATTTGAGTTGTAAATTAGGATACACATATAAATATTCAGTAGCAAAGTAGAAATAGCCGTATTTGTCTATGGTATTGAGCTTTAGATGTGATTTTGTTGTCGTCCCTTGACAATGTAGTTAAAAGAATCATTTATTGACAATATTTTAACTTTGGGTAAAAAATTAGCCGGCTTAGTAGTTAGCCGTTATTTTGATAAAAAATAAATATAATGTCCTATTTTATTTTCTAACTCAAAAATATAAACTATTTGTAAATACAAACTTTTAATTCAAAAAATAGGTAATTGGGTTGATCTCGTAAAAAGGTGACTAAATGCATAATTGTAGTATTCATTATAGTATTTAGTGTGTAAATACACACGCATGCAAGAAAAAAAATAAATCAAAGGGAGAAGACAGCGTGGGAAGAGAGAATTGAGAACAAAAATTAATTAATTACTCTTATTTAGAGAAGTTTAAGTTTTAGCTACTATTTGAGAATATAACATAACTTTTACTCCTAGTTTAGTTCTTCTCTCATTCTTAATTTGATCTCACTTTTTAAAGACAAATATTAAAAATTGAAATGTACAGTTGAGGTTTGTCTAAAAGAGAAATATTATAAATTACATACTTTCTCTATCTTTTTGTATTTGTCCATTTTCATTTTGAACAAATATCATGAAAAGGAGAAAAGTATAGAGAATTGTCTAAAATACCCTCTCATTGAAATTTGTTGATTCCGTGCAAATCCGTGGTCAAACAGAGACTTTTGCAATACAGTGCACTGTTCATCTTCAAGCTCCATATGGTTTCTCTTGTGTTCAATGTCTCACCTTGGTTTGCTTCTAAGCTTGGTCTCTTGCATTATATGCACCATTAAAAAAATGCTCAAAACACTTTCTAATAAAATGTTGTTCCCAAACTAACCCTAAGCTGCATATTTATTACTCTCTCTACCTATAAAAGTGTTACACATTTTCATTTTTGTTCGCCCTTTCCACATTTTGAAATAATCTTGTGGTCCATATAATTTCTCTCACTCTCATCCACACAATTTTATTTTATTTAATCTCTTTGCAAAACAAACATTGACTCTTTTTAGATGATAAAATATTTATATGATTAAATTTTAACCACTTGCTTTACTCAATTTTGTTACTCCCTCCGTCCCCCTAAGATGTTCTCATTTTGACTTTTGGTGATTTTTAAGGAGAGTTAAAAAAAGGTGAAAGTTTATCATAATACCCTTAATGAAAAATGGGTGGAGTGTATTAAATGAGGTGAGTGAGGTGTAATAAATAAAGTAAGTGGGGGTAGTTGTGGTATTTTACTTGTTAAAAAATGAAATGAGAAGATCTATTGTGGACATAGAAAAAGGGCTATTGAAAGATCTATCAGGGACGGAGGAAGTATTTATTTGATATAAAATAGTATAATCATGTCATCTCATATTTTATACTCCGTAAAATCTTTAATAGCCTTAAATATAAAAATTTTATTTTTAATTCCAACTAATTTTGATTTCAATGATTGAGACAAACAAAACTAGAATGGATTGATTTCAATGATCAATGCAACATGTTTTTGTAGCCTTTTCAAGGACATATGGAGGAAAACTATTTATGAATTGGGAAAAGCGGACAAAAAGAAAAAGAAAAATTATTTCAAATAATCCTACCTTTTTGCGTTCTTTAAATAATAATCTCATTTTTCACTCTAACCGAAAATAATATCACATTTCCGCATGTGTGCGAGTTTTGGGTCACCGTTAAAAAACTAACGGCTACTTAATAGAATTTTTAGAAAATGTCTTATTTTTGCAAATAAATAAAATGTGAGATTATTTTAGGCAAATTTACTTTTTACATTTTTTTCAATTTTAATTTTAAAATTAATAATTCTAAAAATATAAGCGTACACTCTTGTTAGAGATTTGTCTAACGATTTACAAATTTTATTTTTTGTTCTCAGAAAATGTAATATTGAATTATCAAAAATAATTCAAGTATCGATCAAGAAAAAAGTTGCAATACAAAAAAAATGTAGTGAGTTATAAAATTTATTAGTTCTGTTTTGGAGAAAAAATATTGTACCATTTTCACAAGTTTTGAATTACTATTTTGGGGAAACATTTGAACTGAATTATCAAAAAATCACAAATTAGGTAGTATCATTTTTGGAAAAAAATAATAGAGGCAATAGAAGATAATCAATAAATATTTCAGAGTATTATTCATGAAAAATTTGTAATACAACAGAAAATGTAGTGAGTTATAAAAATAAAAGTTTCATTTCCGAGATTTTTTTTGTGTTGTTTTCACAATTATCGTAATATTGTTTCGCAAATAATATTTATATAGAATTATCAAAAAACATTTAAAAGGATACATAAGAAAAGTGAATGAAGAACTATGATTATTGATGGTAACAAACTTCTTCTTCCAAATCAACTTGTGTTCTTTCCTATTTTGTTGGGATCTTCCGAAATTTTAGCACAGACGCATTGTTTTTTAAAAAAATTAAGGAAAAATTACCCAAAATAATCTCAACTTTACCCGGTTTTTAAAAAATAATCCCACCTTTCACTGTGATGCATAATAATCCCAACTTTACTGAAATTTGCCAATTTTGGGTCGCCGTTAAGTGTCTAACGGAGGGGGTTAACGGAAATGCCCATTTTGGGCAACAAAATGAAAGTTGGGATTATTTTTTTTATGAATTTTTGTTTTTTAATTTTTTTTTTGAAATTTTTTATTTAAATTTTTTGAATTACTTTCTACCTCCATCATCATTTCTTTTTCTTTTTTAAAGATTAGTCTTAGTTTAAAAAATAAAAATAATAGATATAAAAAATGAAAAAATGAGAAATGTAACTAAAATGATACAAAAATAATAAAATAAATAAGGTAATCAATGGAAACTAACTTGAAATTGGTAAAAGTAAAATAAAAATATACGGGTGAGTTTTAATATTTTACGTATTATACAAAGTATTAACATATCACTACTTATTTTTTAGAAAAAATTATCTACAATAATTCCAATTTTACCGGACGGCTTGTTCTTTTAAAAAATAAGTAGTATATTAAGACCTCGTATAGTGTGTAAAATGTTAAAACCCACCACTCCGTATATATTTATTATGTTTCTTACCAGTTTCTGTTTAATTTCTATTGATTACATTATTTATTTGATTAAGTTTGTATTGTTTTAGTTATTTTTCGCATTTTCATTAATTTTTTTATCTATTTTTTTTCTAAGGTAAGAATAATCTTTAAAAAAGAAAAAGAAATGGAGGTTAAAAGTAATTCAAAAAATTTAAATAAAAAATTTCAAAAAAAAATTAAAAAACAAAAATTCATCAAAAATAATCCCAACTTTCATTTTGTTGTCTAAAACGGGCATTTCCGTTAACTTTCCGTTAGAAATTTAACGGCGACCCAAAATTGGCAAATTTCAATAAAGTTGGGATTATTATGCATCACAGTGAAAAGGTGGGATTATTTTTGAAAGACAGGGTAAAGTTGGGATTATTTTGGGTAATTTTTCCTAAAATTAATGCCCTGCTCTCAAGTCTCAATTAGTTTGTGTTCAGAGGTCATTTTTATCGTTTGAATTTCAAAAAGT